TTTTTTTTTTTTTTTTTTTTTTTTTTGGTTTTTCGAGACAGGATTTCTCTGTATAGCCCTGGCTGTCCTGGAACTCACTCTGTAGACCAGGCTGGCCTCGAACTCAGAAATCCTCCTGTCTCTGCCTCCCAAGTGCTGGGATTAAAGGCGTAGACCACTACTGCCCTGCGTCCCAGTACTCTCAAACGGAGGGAGGCAGAAGGATCAGATCAAAAGTTTGGGGTTATCCTAGGCTACCTAACTAGTTTTAGGCTAGCCTAGACAACATGAAATGAAACCCTTTCTTGGGGAGGAAGGGGCGTTGTAAGTGCAGATGTGAGTGGATCTGGGAATCTGTAGACCTGGCTGGTGTAATCACCTGTATAGACTCAGAGGAATGAATGGTTTGTGAGGTGAGATCAAGGGCAAATCTCAAGCCAGCCATGTTCTTGACTCAGCCTTCATGGGCCGTGATCTCAGGGCTACATAGCCCCCTCCCTAGTGTGCTTAAATTATCCTGGCTGTGCTAGCTGCTGATTTAGCTGCTCTTGGGGGTCCTGGAATAGGGTTCTGTTCCAAAAAGTTCCCAGAGGGTAGAAAGAACAGCGGGGTGGCCTACCTGTCTCCTGCCTTCAAGAAAAAACCCGCTGCACTGGTCCTACAGGTCAGCTGGAGCGTGTGCATTCCTCTCCCACCCCCACCCCCCAAACTTAATCTTCCAGAAGGGCTGTCTGGAGCGGGCACAAAGTAGACTCCTCCCGGAGCGCAAAGCCGTCTCCTCCAGGCGGAGACTCCCCAGGACTTACTGTGGTAGCAGATGAGAGTGGTGACCAGGGACAGCAGAAGGAGCCCGCAGATTCCGGCCAAGGGTGCCCAGATGTAAATATTACAGGCGAAGTCAAATCCCGTCCCCTCCACTGACGAAATCCGAATGAATGGAATTTAGAAACCAGCTGGGACAGCCCCCAACCCCGCCCCCAGCACTTCTCCCGGTCCAGGTCTCCCTCCAAGATCAGGATTTTCCTTGGCAAGTAACATCCCCACCCCCAGCCCCCAGGCTATCTGTCTACCCCAATCGCGGACCATGAGGCCACCTAACCTGAGCCACCCGCCCCGGGCCGGCAAGTTTCTGGTGTCAGGGGCGGAGATGTCCCGGTAGTGGGCACCGGTGTGGGAGCTCGCGACACTGGCTTGGTAGTAGTAGAGTGCACTGCAAAAGCAACAGGGTGCCTGCGGGTCAGGCTGGAGTTGTGGATGCAGCAGCCTCTTTCCGCTTAGCCTTTACCCAAGAAGGAGCCTTTTCCTGGCTTTTAACTAGAGGAAGAAGGGACCCCCGGATCGTGCTGGGCCACTCCGCTGCTCGCACACGCGGAGCCAAGTGTGATTTGGGGCCAGTGCGCCTAGACCAGATCCAACAGCTAAGCGGCTGCAGCCCTCCACCAACCCAAAGCTGGAGTCAATACAAGAACTCTATCCTGGAGCCTACAGGGGCAGAATCACACACACATCCAGACTCCAGGGGGTTAAAAGTCACTTCTAATCCTACCCAGCACCTCAGCCGCAGTTTTCTGGTCTGTAAAATGGGAACAGTGTAGAAGTAGCCTCCAAGAGACCCCAAGAGATTTAAGAAGAGGGAATCTGTCTGTAAAACATGTTCAGATGTGACTCCTAAAATCCAAGGGAAGGGACCTCCACTTCCAAACCTTTCTGAAAGACCGGCACGAGAGGACTGAAGTACATCACTAAGTTGCTGGTGACTGAGCAGAAATAATAGCCTTGGTTTTCCTCGACGAACTTGTTCAGGGTGAGGATGTACTTTTGGGTGTCCTCCCTCTTGGCAGAGAACAGTTTCGGATCCAATCTATCGTTCAGCTTGTTCCCGGAGAAGGACGAATAGGCGATGAAGATGGGCTGGGGGAGTTTGGAGCTGGAGTTCTGGAAGAGCCAAGAGCATCCTTGCGAAGTGGTCAAAAACACTTCACATGTCAGCTCCACCTTCTGGCCAACTTTGGCGTCCATTTTCTTTGGTGACATTCGGAACTGTCCTGAACTCTGGAGCCGAGTGACATCTGCAGGTGCCAGGTTAGGAGACTGAGTCGGGAGTCCCCGAACCCTTGATATGCTCCAGCCCCTGCTCTCCCCGGGATTATCAACTCACCCAGCAGTAGCAGGTTCAGCAACAGAAAGCAGGTCAACCGTGAGGCCATGATATGCTCCCATCAGCACCTTAGGTCAAGCTAGGGCTCTAGGGGAGGGGCCCAGGAACAGGGCGGGAAGTGCGGGGAGGGGGGCGTGGAGGGTGAGAAAACTGCTCCCTTAGCCCGCTGAAGACAGAGCTGACTTCGTATTTGAGGATATGATGTCACCCAAAGTCCCCACCAAAGATTGTTAGCCTCCTTTTCTCAGTTATCACCTTTTAGGGGCCTGGGAACTCAGAGAGAGAATGCAACCTTGCAGAGCAGGTGAGGGGAGTTGAAAACTGAGATTTGGGCGAAGAGAGAACACTTGGAAAGGGTCTTTGGGAATTAATTGTTCTTCTGCAAGAATGGCTGAAAGAAGGAGAAAGATTAAGTCTTAATAAAATGAGAGTGACAGAACATGAAGGGAGAGGAGTGTCCACTCTCCTCTGTCTTTTTCTCATAGACAGGGTCTTGGGTAGCCAAGCTTGCCTCAGACTCACTTCACAGCAGAGACTGGTCTTGAGTTCCAGACCCTCCTGCCCTTCCACTTCTTTTGCTGGCAATAGTGTCTTTTTGCTTCTTGTCTGGAAGTTAAGTAGAAAGAGAATTTACAGCAATTCCAGCAAAGCAGGCTAGACGTTAACCAGAAGGGCCTTACACCTCCCATCAAGGGGACTTGCAAGGGGGCAGTTCAATGGGAACCTTGAGTGGCACTCTGAGCTGCTGACAATATCCAATTGGATGGTGCAGCTACATACCTTGACCATCATTCTTATCCAGGGGATCTGACAGCATCACCCCATGACCTGCACAGCTAGATGAAAGCAGCTCCCTGACTTGATTAGGGACTAGCCTTGGGTAGGTGCTGGCTCCACCCAAGTCACTGTCCCTGGCTTTGCCATGCACCTGCAGCCACTGCCTCGTAGACAGATGTTTCCCTTGTTGCTTACTTATGCCTGTGTTTCCAAGCTCTTGCTGCACACTGCCTGGCAAATGCCAGGGCTCCTATCATCTGACTTGGGGTTTTGACTTTCTCTGTTGCTTGTATGCATGTGTGTGTCCTGGGTGAATCTCTGTCCCTGGCACACACAGACTTCATTCCTTCTTGCCCACTACCATCCTGAAACCTGCCAGTCTCTTGATTGTCCATGGCTTGCACTTAGTGGGGCTTTCCACTTAGAATCCCATACAGGGTGCAGCTCACGCATTACTGCCTGATTCTAGTTGGAGGTAGGTTGCCTGGCATTCTCTACCCCACATCTGAGTTCTGCCTAGTGGCAATCTGTTTGCCAGAGCCTCCACGGTGCTGGGTATGGCCACCATGTCCAGTTTCCACAAGCAAGTGTTGGATGGAGTGTGTCGCTGATGTTACATCCTAACTTGTGTTTACTGAGCTGCACCCCTCTGAAGAGGCTTGCCTTTTGTTGTTGCTTACATTTGATGACAAGATCTCAACTCTGTAGCCTAGGCTGGGCTGGAACTTACAATGTAGTTCAAGCAGGCCCTGAGTTCATGGTAATCCAATTAAATTAGCCTCCAGGGTGCTAGGATTACAAGCTTGAGCCACCAAGCGCCATAATGGCTGATATATACGAACAAGTATTGGGTGAGCTTTTAGAAACTGCTTGGTCCCCATGCTCCGTACTCTAAGAATACCCGGATGCGGACTCTAATATTTTATGTTTAGAGTTGTTTAAAGTATAATTTAATGTAGTTTATTATTATTTGGTGTGAATGTGTGTGATGTGTGTGTCTGGGAGGGAACATACATGCCACAGCGTGAGTGTGAAATCAGAGAACAGCTCTGTGGAGTCAGTTCTCTTCTCCCACCTGTATAAGGCTTCTGAGGATGGAACTTAGGTCAACAGGCTTTCAAGGCCAGCACAGTACCTATTGTGGCTTCTAAAGTGGCTTCTTAAATTATAAGAGTAATATATTCCTGAAAAAAAAAAAGGTACACACAGGGCTGGAGAGATTGCTCAGATGGTCAAGTATGTGCTGTGAAAGCATGAAATCCTGAGTTCGGATCCCTAGCACCCATTGCCAGGAGGAAGAGACAGAAGATGCCTCAAGCAAGCTGACTAGTTAGACTAGCAGAATTAGTGAGCCATGGGTTCAATTGAGAGAACCTGTCTCAGTGTATAGCATGGAGAACAAGATATCTACTTTGGGCCTCCACACTCTTGAGCATGTGCACCTGCAACCCACACTTGTGCACCCCCACACAGACACACGTGCATACATATAAACAAGTGTAAGTTTTAAAATGCCAGACAGTGCAAGAGTAAGTACAGAGAAAGTCCTCTGTCTCATCTCTCCTCATTTGTCCTCAGTTCTTCAGATAAAACCATGGTAACAGTTGACTGTATCTCTTAGATCTTATCTGGGCACAGATGTTTATCATTTCAAATCATTTGTCACAGGGGTAGTGTTCCAAAATCTATTTTCACGTTTCCTACTTGACAATAGAAGAAAAGCTTTTCACACTAGCAGTTGGAGACCCACTTCATTTCTTTGCATGATGCCTTTCACATAGCTGTTTAGTTTACTTTGTTTTATTAGTAGGCCTTTAAGCCAGTTCCCATTTTAATAATTACTGTACCATCAAGGCTGTGCTATGAAAAGATACATTATTCCTGATACACTGTATCACTGAATTCATAAAGTGCACATAACACTTTCAATTTTGAAAAGATACATTTATTTATTTAGTGTGTGTGTGCACTAATGAGCCTCAGTACTACAGGTCAGAGGACAAGTTATGGGGCTCCGTTTCTTCTTTCTCCTATGTGGTCCCAGAGATTGGGGCTCCGTTTCTTCCTTCTCCTATGCTGGTCCCAGGGATTGAACTCACGTTGTCAGCAAGTCGCTTTACCCTTGTAACTATCTCACTCATGCCTCACATAATGCTTTCAAGTGGAGGATGAGCGAATTAAAGAAGGGAAAACCTTTGTAATGACCAGCAAGTGTATATGCATGCCTGTGTCTATAAGCATATGTATAGTGTGTGTATATGAGTATAGTGTGTATGCATGCGTGGATGTGTATGCACATATATTGTATATGTGTGTGTAATATGTATATATATTTTGTGCATATGGTGTGTGTGTAGTATGTATATATATTTTGTGCATATGGTATGTGTGTGTGTCTGGATGGAAACACACAGTGCTTCTCTTAACTTACATGAATGAGGATAACAAGGAAGCAGGTAGGTTTAGGCCACCCACACAGCAAATCTTGTTTTACACAAGAATCTCCCATTTTACCTGGTCACTGCTCCTCCTACAGGAGGATGTTCACAGGACTTACTGGCCAAAGTGTACAGTCAGGAGAACATGAAAGAGGATAGAAAGACACAAAAATATGCCTTTTCAGATGAGAGCCACAGTCAATCTTCAGTTATGTGGACCCCCTTCAGAACCAGGTCCCCAAGTAAGATGATGGGTAGATTTGGAGTGAAAATGGCTATTCCATTTCAATCTCTGTGAAGTGAGCTATAGCTAGTGTAGGGGTCTTCAAGTCTTGCGACTAAGAAAGCTCAGCCATGGGGGTGCCATCCCCTTTGTACAGAGCATCATGGGAGGTGAGGGGAATGTCAAAGCAACATGTCAAACCCCCCAAAGAGGTTCTGTGACCCCAATAATACTTTTCACAGAAGCCGGTGGGTTGTCAATGTTAACCACAATGACATCCGCCCTGAAACAGGCAGCAGAGCTGATGTGACTGCACATGTTCTGAGATGCTTGCTTTCTGTAGCCCAGGTGTGCAGGCTGGAGTTATGCCTATCCATCATAGCAACTGATCTCCTGCAACGTATCCTGTGATACTCTCATGGGGTAATTTGAAGAAAGGGCTGGCGCAAAGAACAATGACTGTACTCTGTCACACAAGTGTCTCCTCCGGGTTTTAAAGGGCAAATTCTCACTATGTAGCCATGGCTTGCCTGGAACTCCCTCCTTATGTAAACAAGGCTAGCCTCAAATTCTTAGAGATCTGCCTGCCTCTCTGTTTCAGCAGTGTTGAGATTAAAGCTATGCACCACTATAGCTGGCCCTTTCTTTCATAAGATATGATAGAATAGATAGCAGTAGCCCTTTGAGCTGGTCTGAATGAGAATGAGCCCACCTGCTCATTTGTTTGAATACTTGGTCACCTGTTGGTAGAACTGTTTGAGAAGGATTAGGAGGTGTGTTTTTTTGTTGGAGAAGGTGTGTCACCGCGGGAAGGCTTTGAAGTGACAAAAGATTTCCCAGTGTGTCCTTTCACTCTTCCTCTTTGTGGATCAGGATGTGAGTGCTCAGTTACTGCCCCCGTGTCATGCCTGCCTGCCCATCACTACACTTCCCATCATGATGGCGATGGACGCCTGTCCCTAGGGAGCTTTGATGCTCCCCTCTGTAAGTAGCCTTGGTCATGATGTTTTATCACAGCAATAGACAAGTAAGGCACCCTGGGGTGAGCTTCATCCTTATGCTTTTAAAACATGAGAGTGAGATAATTTTAACTTACGCGAGTCGGAATTACAACAGAGAGAAAGACACTTGTCATCCGGGCTCTTGTGCCGCAGACAGCCGAGACAACCTGGAACCATGACTCTGAAGTTGCCCACTGCTTCCCTCAGGGATGGTACAGGCAACTCTGCAGATATCAGGACCTCATTTGAACTCAGTCACAAAGATCTGTCAAGAGGTTCTGTTACATCTAGAAGATACTGTTTCAGCAATGTCTGGCTCTTAGGATCTTTCCTTCCTCTCTTCCACGACACCCCTTGATGCTTGTGGGGATGGGGCGTGATGTATTGGTCCCATTTATGGCTGGGCACGCCACAGTACCCTCAGTATTCTCCGTACTTTGACTCATGAGCATCAGTATCAACTACCTTCCGCTGTGCTAGCTTCTTTGATAATGGTTGAGAGCTGCATTAACCTACACATTCAATTTTCTTTCCAGATGAATAAAATTCCATTGTGTGTAGATACCACATTTTCAGTATCCATCCATCCATCAGTCGATGGGCATCTAGGCTGCTTCCTAGTCTTCTCTATCATGATCAGACAGCAGTGAACATTGATAAGCAATGTCTCCACAGTAGGATATATCATCCTTTGGGGAAATTCCCAGGAGAGTATAGCTGAATGTGATGGCTAATTTTGGTTATCAATTTGACTACATCTGAAATTAACTAAATCCTGGTAGATGGACACACCTGTGAGAGATTTTCTTGGTTGGATTACTTGAAGTGGAAGATCCATCCTAATCCAGGCCATACCTTTGGGTACAGCCCACATAGAAGAACATGGAAGAAGGAAGTTTTCGCTTTTTTGCCTGCTTGCCCTCACTCTTACTGGCAAGTTCATCTATTCCATACCTTCACTGGTATTCAGGATTCTAACATGATCTGAAAACTCACCACTCTCTAGGTCCTCCCTGGGATTCCAGCATCAGATTGGGAGTGCTGAGACTCCAGCCTCAGGGACTGAACAACTGCCAGATCCTTGGCCTTTCTGTCAGGAGACAGCCA